AGCACCTCCCTGGCTGGGGAGAGAAGCAGCCGCTCTGCCTGGGGGGGCCTCTCCAGCTTCCCCTCGGCTGGGGGGCTGCAGGCAGCTCGGTGCTGGGCAGCAGCCCTGCCTCCCTGCAGCAGCTCTCCCGCACGGAGCACAGCAAACCAGAGCTTTTAGTGTTAACTGCTAGGCTATTTCTGGGTGCCATAGGGCTAAGAAATCATTTCTAGTGCTCCACTTTAAGTCAAACTGAAGTTTTACATAATACCTGTTTGACCCTTTCTGTGTGCCTTGGTGTAGTCACTGTGTGAACCTAGTCCCTATATTCTGCTATCATCACGCTGATGAACTGACAGTGACATTATTTGAATTTTCTTGCAGGTAAACCCAACCAACCATCGTCTCCTGTTTGAAGTGTTTGATGAAAACAGATTGGTGAGTGCTTCTCTTGCTTGTGTGTTACTAATCACAAGGCTGCTGTGTAACATGGCTAATGAAAGTATAGCATATATTCAAGGTGTATTTTTGTCTGTTGTTTAATCAGCTGTACTAAGAAATGCAGGTAGAAGCATTAAAAATTATCTGCTTCTGGGAGTAATAGAACATTAAGCACAAAAGTAGTTCTCTGCTGGGTCAGAGCAAAGTGGTCCAGCTTCACTCAGTATTCTGACTGTGAAAATCTCCTTGTATTCTTACTTAGGCTACTCCAGTGCAAACCCATAATGTCACCTTGTTATTCACCCAGAAAGCAACTGCTTCTTTCCAATCATTTTAATGTCTCTTTTAATATTTCTCTGTCCTTTTTTGGGATGTGGTTACCAGAGCTGCACCTTATACTCAAGATGTGGGTGTATGAAGGTTTAAGGTAATGGCAAAACTGTGTTCCCTTATGTTTTCAGTACTCTTGCCTCATAATGCCCAACATACTGTTAGTGTTTGTGGTCTTGAACTACATTTGTCTGATGGAGTAACTCTTCCAGAGATGTCTTCAAATATCTTACAGCTTCTTGCTTTTGATATGATTAAGTAATAAAAGTTTTCACAAAGACATAAACAGAATAAGTGACACTGTCCTGAACACATTAAGTTAAATATGCCAGTGTGATGGGTACTGGGTTGAATTACACTTGATGTTGTTTGGGTTTTTTTGTCTTGAAACCTTTAACACAGTGTTATTTATGAGATCAGGTATTAACATTTTCTCGGCTGGGTGCAGGGTAATTTCTGCTAAACTTGTTTGCTTTGTGAATATTAGGATCCATGTTGGAAAGATCTCTTACTCAAAAAAACCCAGAATGGAAATATCTGTGTTCAAAAAATAAATTTGTTTCCTCTATCTTCCTGTTAAATGCAGAGTGAAGTAAAACAGACAAGCTGTAATCTTCTGAGGAAAAAAAGGACTTCCAGTCAAATTATTATTTTCTGCTTTAGGAGGAGGTGAATCTGTCAATCTGTGACAGTATGCATTTAGAGTGGGCTGACTATGGGCATATTTATTGACATCCCATGATCATAATGACCACTTGCACTGCTAGAATCTGTCCTATACCTCTGGAACTTAGAGATTATGGGTCAGTTCTTCCCAGCTTTAAGGTCCTCTTCCCTTTGCAGCTGTTGCAAACAAGCTGAAGCAGAAGCTTAGTAACAGTGTGTGTCATCCTGGGCTCAGGATGGTGCTGACATTCCTGCCTGGCTCTCCTGTGTCTTGGGGGATTGCTAGAGCACCTTTATGCTGGGGAGAGGACAAAGCAGCAGTCATGCAAGAGGCTTTGCTCAGGGCTGCAGAGCACAGTGGCGTGCACAGGGTGTCTGTGGCTGATGGTAACAGAGGCGTGGGTCAGGAAAGTCCTGTGTGCAGGAACAGTTGAGAAATGAGGTTTGGTTTGCTCATTTCAGACACATTGTTTGAGATTTTCAAGGGTCTGTATGCAGTGCTGGCCTTCGACTGGCAGTTTCAATACTACTTTGTTGTTGAAGCATTTTCTGTTTGTTCTTCCTGGGATCCTACTTCCATAGACAGTTCTTCTTGGGATCATAACCTGCTTGTAAAGGCAGCAACCTGTGGTTAGGAGCTGCTGCTTTCCTTTCAGCAGCTGTTGACAAAGCAAGGAGATGAGGGTTTTTAGAGGAGCAGTTTTCCATCAGGTTATGCTCACAGAATGAGGATACACTAAAGTGATTGTTTTGGCTTTTTTCTGCAATAGTTATTGTCAATTGCCCTGTTACAGGATGAGGGGCAATGAACAAAAACTGGAACACAGGAAATTCCACCTCAACATGAAGATAAACTTGTTCTGTAAGGGTGATGGAGCACTGGAACAGGCAGCTCAGAGGGGTTGTAGAGTCCCCTTCTCTGGAGACTTTAAAGACTCATCTGGATGTGTTTCTATGTGGCCTGGCTTAGATGACCCTGCTCTGGGGGGTTGGACTCTGATCTCCAGAGGTCCTTTCCAACCCGTACCATTCTATGAATACTTGCACAGGTTTTATCTCAAGAACTTTGTTTCTTTTCCATGCTCCCAAGTTATCAAAGCACTTCCTCTCTTTGCAGTACATCTTTTTGCCCAGTTAAAAGAATAGAGGTTTGCAAACTTCATCTTTGGTGCACAGAGAGACTGTGTTCTTGATTAATGTTTTATCTGAGGAATAAAATAAACTAATATCAGCACCTGTGCTCCCACAAGTCAATCTACAGTACTGTTGCTGTGTAGAAGCTATTCATGCTTTTCTTCTTGTTGGCTCACAGTCTACTTAAAACAATAGGGCACTGTGTCTGTTGGCAGTTACGAGTTTTAAGCTTCCATTTCTCTTGTGATTGGTCGTTTTCTGACTTTTGAAAACAAGCTGCTTGCAAACAGAGGTTTAAATGTCTAGAGTACTGACCCTCCACCTACAAATTTTCAGAGCTGTTGACAAAACTTATGCTTTCAAGTTCTGCTAGGGAACAAATGCCCATGTCTTCAAATGATGCTGTACTTCCTACACTTTTTGGTAAACCGTTTCTTTTCTGGTATGTGCCAACAAGTGCTGTTGTGAGCATGCTTCAGATGTGAGTATCCTCAGAACACTGAGGTTTTATGCTGTAATTGAGATGGTGTAGGGTGTGTGTTTTTACATTTTGGTGTATCCTGTCTGTTCCTCTGAGGTCTTTTGGCTCTCGGAGAGCGGAGCCGCACTCGTGCTGGCAGTCGCGCTCGTGGTAATGCTGCTCGCTGTCCCCTGGAGGCTGGCCAGCCGTGGGCAGCCTTTCTGTACAGGCTTTGAGACAAATCAGTACAAAACGACATGCAACACTCGTCTCTGCTTCTCACTCCTCTTTACTGCCTGCTAAACCTGAAAAAGCAGCTTTGTCTCCTGCCATCTTGCGCGTTTCTGCTGGTTTTATTGTGTGAGAAATCTTTGCCATACGTGCGGTTGCTTTGTTTAGTGTGGGTTTTAATGCTTGAAAGGGACTGCTCAGGGCAGCATGGGTTGAGTTGTGTTCATAGGGTAAAAGTTGGGGCTTTTTAGAGGCAAAAAGTTTGTTGCTTGATCATGTTAAGAACATAGATAAAATTGAAAGCGTAACGTTGCTATATTTGTTCATGTTCTGCCATGATAGCTTAGTACTGTAACACATACCAAAATTTTAAGCTTGAAATAATTTTTCTCATTTGCATGTGGAGTTGACTAAAGCTATTAACACTAAATCAAAGTTTGGTTTTTTTGTTGTAGTTAAGTTAGTGTGTATGTGCTTTATACAAGTGTGCCTTGTGAGTATGATGTGGGTTAGATTTATAGCAGTGCCGAGTGTGTTTGCTGCCTTAGTCAGCTGTGAGAGCTCTCCCGCTGGGGCCGCTCCTCTCTGATGGAAAAGGAGCAGCTGTGAAGGTGCTGTTTCAGGCCCTTGCTGGCACTGAAAGAAAAAAAAAAAAAAGAAAAAACAAACCCCCCCACCAGCTTACATTGGAGAGGGGGAACCAGGCCATGTGACTGCCACCATCCTACCCTATGTCACAGTGTGTAGGAGCACTGATTGCTCTTACCCAATCATGCCTGGAATGCTGCTTGCTACTTGGGCTATTTCTGCTATCTGTCGCTATCAGGGCTGCAGTGCTAACAGTTTGGCAGATGGGACACTTTTTCGTGGAGTTTATGTCTTTGGTTTTTAACTTCTGGCAGTGCCTGAATTGTTGCTGTTCTCCCTCTCCTTTTCTTCTCCCTGTAAAACCATGGCCCATCGGCTGCGGTTTCACTTTGGCTCTGGGCGAAGCAACACAGCCCCCGAATCGGAGATCCTGGACCGGGAGAGAGAAGATGACTTTTTCATGGCATTCCATACTTTGCCAAGAAGAAACAGTCCTCACACTTTCTCCCGACATGGAGCGGATTATGGAGGGGGTGGCGATCTGCAAGAAGTGGGCTCCTTAAAAAGGAGTACATCCATGTTTATTCCCCAGCTGCTGAACAGCATTGATGTGCGCCCCACAAGAAGCTCGTCCATGCAGATCTCTCTTCAGCGCAAAGCTGTGAATGGCTCTGCAGACAAGTGTGCAACCCTGGAATCTCCTGAGGAAACGCTTCCTTGCGAATTCTCAGGCTTGAGGGAGCATTCTGCACCCCCTGTTGAGAACCATTCTTCTCCTCTGGGTGCTTCAGAGGTGACTTCTGAAAATTCTCCACCCAGCCTGACAGAAGAATTAGGGCAACAGGTTAATGGAACTATTTGCTGTAATCGTAGAATATTTTGTGCTATTCCTTCTAATAACCAGAGTGAGGATGCTTCTTCAGCTGCCCAAGAAGATGAGGCAAATGAAGCAGCTTCAGGCTTAAACATAAGTGGTGTGAGGATTCAGCATCGGGCTTCAAGTGCAGACGTGCCTCAGGTTACTCTGCTGCCCTTCAGCTCTGAAGCTCCAAATAATGCTCCCACCCCTGAACCCCGGCGTTGGTCTTTGCAACATGTGCCAGATATGTCAGCAAATTCAGGGAAGAGGTTCTTTGTGCTCCAGTTGCAGCAGCCACAATCAAGTGGTACAGGTGCAGGAGGTGAATATAACTTCGGCTTTACTGGAACAAAAGGGGACAGGTTGGTCAGGTATCCTCGGATACGGCTAGAAAGGAGTACTTCCTACCCCATCCAGCCACCAGCAGAAGAAGTGGGCTCCACAGATGGATTGAACTCAGAACTGCATAGAAATGGCAGGAATGGGTCTAGAAGCAATTCAGTAGAGCGGATTCCTCAGGGGCAGGGATGCTTGTTTAAAATCAGACCAGATCAAAACACAAGGCAGCAACACTTCAGAATTCTTGTCACCCGTGGTCCTGAAGAACAGAACCAGGTTGTTGGTAAAGAGGGCCATGGCACCACTGGTCCTGCAGCAGCCAGCCCCACAGTAAGTATGATGCTGTGTATGCTCTGCTGGTGACACACCATTGCCATACAAAGGCTGCTA